TAAAAATCCATAAGATATCAATATTAATTTTAAAATTCTTATACCAAACTATTTTAACGTAATACATTTTATTATTGAAAGATAATGAAATGGAAATGAATATATACAAGTACATGTTCGAGTTAGTATTACATACCTATAATCAAATATGTTAATAAATTTTTTTGGTATAATGTTATTACGAAATTGATTATCAGAACAATCCTTTCCCACTAAACATGAGATATTTATGCAACATTCTGAATTGTTTCACACTGATTTCGAATGATACATTTTATTTCTACATTTATGATATAATTCATTAATGTTGCAAAGAAAACGTTTCATAATTTTTTATATCATAAATATTTCAAATGTGCATATATTAATTGATACATATTCTAAACATTTTGAAGATATGTTTCATCATCTTCAAAAAATTCTTGTATCATAAATATTCCAAATGTGTACATCTCAATTGATACATATTCTAAACGTTTTAAAGATATGTTTCATCATCTTCAAAAAATTCTTGTATCATAAATATTCCAAATGTGTACATCTCAATTGATACATATTCTAAACGTTTTAAAGATATGTTTCATCATATTTATGAAATTCTTGTATCATTAATATTCCAAATGTGTACATTTTAGATATGTTTCATCTTCAAAAAATTCTTGTATCATAAATATTCCAAATGTGTACATTTCAATTGATACATATTCTAAACGTTTTAAAGATATGTTTCATCATATTCATAAAATTCTTGTATCATTAATATTCCAAATGTGTACATTTTAAATATATTTCATCTTCAAAAAATTCTTGTATCATAAATATTCCAAATGTGTACATCTTAATTGAGACACATTCTAAACGTTTTAAAGATATGTGTTTTATTATCTTCAAAAAATTCTTGTAACTACAAAAAATTTGTTTTAATTTAAAAATAGCGCTTATACATTCTTAATGGCTCCTTAATTGTTATGGTTCTTATATTATTATAACCGGAATCCATAGTCTATTCTTAAGAAAGCGTTTATAATGCCCGTAAAACCATTTCAGTATGCCGTACGTTAGGACCAAAGATAATCTACATGTATGTTTAAGGGGTTGTTTTCACACCTTGGCGGAAGAGATAAGATGATACACGGTGGCTCGCGGGTGATGTTTCCGAACGCAACCCTGTTAGTTCTATACTATTTACTACCAGCGCGAGTCCTGACTGG